AGAGAGAAGCAAATACCAAGGAGAGATAAAAATGACTTAATAAAACCTTGAATCTTCTTATGATGTTCAATTTTCTCTTCTAGACTTGTTCCTTGAGCTCCAAAGATGGTAATCTCTCAATTTTTGTTCCTAAGATTCTCAAGGATTGCTCTATGTCTCTCTCTAGGGATCGTGATAACACTCAAACTATAGTGTTTATCACTCTCGTATTCGAGATATTTTTCCTTTCTATTAAGTATCAACGCATATTTAGGATTTTTTACTTAAATTCATATGAATAACATAACTATTTGATCAATGAGCTATTATTATACATAGGTTGCATTTTTGTATCTTTTTATGTCTTTTTGGTACGTTTTTGTGCTTTTTAAGATAAATTACAACCTAGGATAATTTGGATCGACAATTAGATAACTATGGAGGATCAATAGAGAAATTTTGAGAAGTCTAAGAAGTTTTTCACCTATTATACACGAAGCCTATAGAAGTCTTAATCGGAGCCCAAGAGGAGCCCATTCGAGGAAACTCAACCCAAACTCGAGAAGGAATCGACAGAGGCCTCAAGACTGGTCCAACTGCCGCAAGCCCAAATATGATCAAATCACACCAAAATCACAAGGAGAAGTTGTTTCACGAACAAGCAACCTAGACCAAGAAGAAAAAGCACAACGGCGGGTGCCGCCACTGAGAGTCCCAGCCCAAAAAAGCTTCTAGAAGGCTTTGTTTGTCTCCAAGTCAAAGAATCTGTGTTCTGGTGGATGAATGTCACTTTAGACAACTTGGAATAGGAAAACCCTAGGACTTCTTCCCTATAAATAGAGAGCTGGGCTTCAGTTTTCTAAACACGGTGAAAATTCACTATATTCTTATGAGGATACTCTATTCGAGTGAGAGCTTGGCCTCCATATGAGGGGGCTGAGTCAAGGAGATGTTGTCCTCATTGTTGGTGGTATCCTCCTTCTCTTCTATATATAGCTAGTTCGAATCAATTGTATAAATGCGAACTCATTATAGTATGATTATCTCATTTTATGATTTCATATGATTCTTGTTCATTGGATGCTTGAGTATATCTACAACTAGGGGTGGCAGTTCGGTTACCGGTTAACCGGCCGGTTAAACCGATAAACGGTCGGGTATCAACTAACCGGTAACCGAAGTAACCGAAGTTCGGTCGGTTATCGGAGGATGGAGGAAATGTATTATGGTCTTAAAAGTGGTTTGGTTAACCGATAACCGATATAACCGAGAAACCGAAGCCTATTTCTGACGGTTTTCGGTAAGGGGAGTGGTTCTTTCGGTTAACCGATAACCGGTCAATCGGTTACCGGTTATAACCGAAATAACCGAACTGCCACCCCTATCTACAACCCGGCATACTGCCCGGTTTCTTTCCAACCGGCGGTAGACTAGAATTGAAGGAAACGCCGCCGTTTCAACACTTATAATTAAAAAAAAATCACCATTTATGGAAAATCCTAATCTCTAATCGAAGTGAATCGGGAGGGAGCCTTCATCGATTTTTCTTCCCCAGCCCTGCCTCGTCGCTTCACCTCTCCTCTAGCGACCTCCGACCAACAACCTGCGGTGCTGCAACCCCTGGTCCGCGAAACAAATGAGGCAAGTCGGCAACCCAAGACCGGCGAAAGGTCGAGCCGACCGTGCTTCGCCGCTCCGTCGTTCCTCTTCTCTTCTTTGGCGAGTGGCAAATGGGGACCTGCGACCAGCGATAGGTCGAGCAGCTCCGCTCCCCCGTGTTGATCCCAGCTCAAGTCTCCCTCCCCCTGCTCAAGAGCATCGACATCGCAGACATAGAGGCAGATCTCTTTTCCTGAACAAACGGCCAAACCCAACAACCAATTACTCATTCTCAAAGGGCAAATTAGGTAAGGAAAAGAGCTCTTAGACTACTCTATGTTACTGCTCTATCAGGAAATCATGCTTGTTGTATACTGCAACAAGGGATAAGGATCAAGAAAGCTCCATTGCTAAGGTAGCCAAAGAAGAAGACTTACAGAAGGAACGCTTGCTTATTTTTCTAGTTTGTTAGAGTGGGAAATTAGGGACAACAATTGGGGGTTTATTGGAATCATTCGAATGAAACCGTATCCTGAATCAAGTATATTCCTATTTAGTTTATTCAGGTTTGTTATCCGGTATATTTTGGTTTTATTCCGGTATTACTCCGAAACGATATCCTGAATATGCCGGTACGGTTTTTTAACAAAAATATATTTTTAATTACAAAAACGGTATTTTGTCGGTACACAACAGTTGAACCACAATCGTATCACAAAATACCCTACCACTGACGGATCCAGTATGACTTCCGGTACGGTATCCTTTACCATGCAAAAATATCATTGGAAAATTACGTTTTGGTACCTAAAATTTTTCATTATGACATTTTGGTACCTAAACTTTTCACATTTTACATATTGGTCATTGGTTGAGGATGTCATTTGGACTCATGGATAATCCACCCAATCCATTGGATCCAATCCATTTAATTCATGAATCCATCCATTGATCAATCCATTTGCCACCTCTAGGTGTGAACTACCGTGTCGTTGTACACGCCACCGTGGTACGAGGATTGGTAGAAGCAGCAGCGAAACATGAGAGAAAGTGAAGTGGCCAAAAACGTTATGTCAACAGAAACCCAAAATGAATCTCATATTAACCATATCCCAAATTTGGGCTAATAATAATAAAAGAGTACAGAAAGAAATGGTTTCGTCAATCCCTAGGTAGACCAGCCATATAATTTGGTTTTTCTTTACATTATTGGGGTTGCATGGAAGCATATACCAAAGAACATACTACGTCGATAACAAAGTACTTATAAAATATTGGGCAGCTGGCATGTCAATATCGAATCGTTGCAAACATGGGGGAGATTATTCACGTACTGTAATAGTTGGTTACATATTTTGGCATATGTACCGGAAATTATATGGATATATGCTGAACAAGGAGATCACGTTTTTGTATAGTGTTTGCTTGATTGATATGGGTGTATAATTTCATTAATTTGATTGAGATAGTGTTTTTTACAATAACATGTAATTCAACAACTAATTTCTTTGTAGTCAAAAGAAACTGGAAAAAAGTGTCTCTATCTCTAAAATTTCCTCTTCGGGCGAATCCGCTTTCCGACAGCCGAGATCGGAGCAATCAATGTTCAACCTACCATCCCTCCTAAGATTACGCAAGGATCAAGCAGAAAGATACTGGCACCAGTGGTTACAATCAACATACCTTAACCTAGTAAAAAAATGACAAAGAATCCCTTTTACAGGAGATCCACACCCACTAGAGTTATTGTTGAGGTAGACACTAGACATTGAGAAGAAAACGGGCGCACAGACGAGGCCGAGCCAAAAGAAATTTTTGGCCGAACCACGGGTCAAGGTCTGGCATGGTTAGTCTAAAATTTCTTTCAGCACGGCCTCGTCCCTGTTGCCGCTTTCTTTTGGCCAGGTTTATATTAATGTTTTCGTTTATAAATATTTGAATAAATTAAAATTTTGAATTGTTTAAATGAGTAGCTAAATTTTTTTAAGGGTAAATACAATTTAATATCCAAACCTTTCATTTTAAACAATATAATAGCCAAACCTTTTCAAAAACAATCTAATATCCTAATCGTCAACTTTCCGTCCGTTTGACCGTTGGTTGACACTTCAAAAAAGCTTGTTTAGGGGAAATTATCACAATACAACTTTGTTTTCTGGTTTTGGCATTGCAGATGACTGAATATTTAGATATTTTATACCATCATGGTGGAGTCATGAACTTCTCGGGTTTGGAACCACGATATGTTGGTGGTTTTTCAGAGAAGATATCGATGGATATTGATGAAGCGTCGTACTTCGAACTTTTTTGAAGTGTCATCTAACGGTCAAACGAACAGAAAGTTGACGATTTGGATATTAGATTGTTTTCGAAAAGGTTTGGCTATTATATTATTTAAAATGAAAGGGTTGGATATTAAATTGTAATTACCCTTTTTTTTAATTAAATGATTTAATGGATAATTAGTGGGTGATTTAATGAGTAGTTTAATTAATTAATCAAATTAGTTAATGGATAATTGGTGGGTGATTTAATAACTATTTTAATTATTTAATTAAACACTAATTATCCATTAAGTAGTTTAATTAAATTAGTTAATGATCATTAGTGCGCATCTAAGTAAAATAATGTGTAAATTTGTAGATAATTAGATATGAACGCAGAAGGAAGTACAGGAAGTAGGTTATTGCCTAGTTTCGTAGATAGAATTGTGGATCAATAAGCAAGAAGGATCAAGGAGAAGAAGCATAAGAAGTTATAGCGCCATATGGCACATCAGTTAGAGGCAAACGTAGGAGGGGAAGAATTAGGGAGTCCTAGTGGAGTTGCTCCTACGGTATCACGATCATTGGTTCCAACGGGAGGAACCATGTCACTTTACTGATGGTGACTTCAGCCGAGTTTGATGATCACTCCAGAGAGTACGAGTCAGATGAGGATCCCTAGGTCCCTCCAACTTGGCGTGGAAGATGGGCTTCTTATACGACATCATCACATTCAACTCTATATGGGGACGGAGGTGGTCGGTTCGTAGCACCTGTTCGAGGGGAGACGCGGAGCTCGGGTAGTGGGTCTGGACGGAGTAGGAGAGGGCATCATTGGATCGATCATCGACTGTGGGAGCTTGATGGTGAGTGTTCTAGTGGACCTAAGGATACGAGCCTCATTAGGGACTTACGTGCCCACACAACATATGCGCTTTGGACGTGAGATGGAGACCGAGTGGTGATCACTTGCTACAACCGTACTAGTGCGGTTGACTATCTGCAAGGCTATGAGTTTATGCATGTCATTGAAAAAGATTTGGTTCAGTAGAAAGGTCTCTAGCAACTGATGTATTGTATTGTCCGCAAGATATCGATTGACGAGGCTCTAATTTTAGTTTTGTGGAGAGGTGGGAGCTAGACACCAACACCTTCCACATGTCTTTTGGAGAGATGACGATCCTCCTCCACGACGTGCAACACATACATCAACTTCCATTTGATGGGCAGCTGATGGCCTTGAGTTGGAGCGAGTGTGACCAGGCGGAGGTCAACTTGTGTGAGCTTATGGGGTTTAACTCTGAGCAAATGCACGGTAACTCGGAGGTCTAGGTATATGTAGGAGGGGTAGGTGGTACACCAAGGGTGGTTTCTTTGCAGAGGTGGCGTCCAAGTACTTGATGGAGCACGGCACAACCATGATAGAGGTACAGTCATACATGTTGTTGTTGGTATGGTTCGCTTTGTTTGTGGACAAGAGTGGAGACAAGGATCGATCGGTTGTGATTATGTTTTTGAGGGACATGGAGAGTATATCTGATTACAGTTGGGCATCAGAGGCACTTTCTTGGATATACTGACAACTTCATGTGGCCTGTCGAGCAGGGGCTTAGGGGATTGTTGGTTGTCTCACACTTTAACTGTGTTGGATCTACGATTGTCTCACACTTTGAGGCACAGTCTTTAGGGCAGGATATCCCTTGGGCAACACGATGGACTAGGCTGCCGTCACCAGGGTTTTTGACCGATCCTAGTGTGAGGTTGGTGTATACCGTCAAGCTCTAGACAGTTTTACCCATTCAAATGTGTGTTGGAAACCTTTCCATTAGCAGCCTCATCAACTAGAGCCTCAATCTTTTTACACTGGAGTGATCATATTTGTTGATGTAGGCGAGTTCTACGATCCAGACAATTTGGATAACTACATATTGTACGGACTCCATATCGCTCATTCATAGGGTCAGGTATGTTTGACTTCTCAATCATGCTAGCTCTGTCACAATACATACAATATCGGTCAACATGATGTAGTCCACCAATATACGGTTTCCTTGATCCATTAATAATAAAGAATCCAAGCTATTGAGCAATTCTTTTTGTTTCCACCTCAGCTATCTCGAAAGATTAATATTGGGTGCCAGTTTCAAATTATGGCGTGTAGTTATCAAACGGGCTTAACCATTGTGACATGTTTCCTACAATTACAATAATAATATAACACATCAATATTAAAACGAAACTCTAACCCTAAGCACAAAATTCAAACCCTAAACCACTAAACTCAAAACCTAAACAACTAAATTCAAACCTTAAACCTTAAATTTATGCCCTAAACCATAATTTTGGTTGCTAAAAAACTACCAGGTCGCAAGAATTCGGCGGCTGAAATTGGCTGGGCCATATAAAATTTTGGCTAAAACATGGTTAGGCCGAAAGAATATCTGGTGGCGGCCGCAATATTCTTCCTACCAGGCTAGATTCCAGCCAAAATTTTCATTCGGATCGGCCAGGTTCCAGCCACCAATTTTTTTTACCCTGTGCTCTGACCCCGAAAAAATGCATAAAATTCCAGAAAGAAAAAAAACGTGATTTGTGATGAATGATGGTTGCATGTGCGCAGAGTACGACAAGGTCTGGCTTCTCTAATGAGATTCCTTCGAGTTTTTCAGCAAAACGTCGATTTTACTATTGTTAAAGTTTTCTGGAAGTTGGTCGAGTTGGATATTTGTTGTAAGTTCTGAACAACTCATTTCCCAAAGTCGTATATGTACAAAATGTGACTAGGGGTGTTTTTGGAAAGTTGGCGGCAAATAGTATTTTTTTGGCGGCAAATAACATGTCCTCTAAAAAATTATTCACAAACAATATCTCTATTGTAAAGGCCATAAATGAAAACTAAGCAAGTGTAAGCGCTACAGCGAGATAAAAGCACAGAAGGAGGAGGAAAATATGTTTGTCTACTCTTTCCCATCTAAAGCTTCGAGAGAATCGGTCTAGGATTCACTTCCATGGACTCTCTCCAACCGAGTACTCCTAGTGGTGAAGAAATAGGATGAAATGGGGAATATGAAAATTGATATTCTGATGGTGACTCTCTCTGGATTCATATCCACGACATTTTGCGACCATTTACTATGCTCGTGGGGGTGTAAATGTGAGAGGGAGCAAATTTAGGGTAAATACATTTTTCAATGCGTATGTTTCGTTTGGATGATTTGCAATAGTAGTAGGGGAAGAAAGTGAGGGGTAAATGTACTTTTCCCTTCATCCTCCAATTCGGAGTGCAAGAAGTGAGACAGAAGAGGGAGGAAGAGGTGTGGGTTAAAATTGAAATTATAATTGTTATAATGTGTATTACTATTCATTCAATAATTATGTTAATGATCATTTTTGTTATTAAGATGTTAAGAATGGCTATAATAACTATTAAACAATAAACCGGAATTATTATCAAACTGACTTCAATTATTGAACGTGTTTGACTAAATTTGATTCAAATGTGCGTTGAAAAGTAGAGAGAAGAAGGGTCATGGGAAATATAGAACGGGAAATGTTTGGTTGACTCTGGTCAATTAATTAAATAGAAAATGTTTGGTTGACCAAATTTAATTATTATTTAAGGATTCATTTTATCATTTAATATTTATTTAACTGCGAATATTTTATGATAATATTTCATGGTTTTTATGTTTTTATTTTGTAATAACATAATTCACTTATTTTTTATTTTATTTGCACCCCATAACTTTTTTTTTCAAACAACAATTTTTTTGGTTTAGTTACACCCCCTATAATTTACACACTAACTTGCACCTACTCGAATTTTCATCCTCCTACATGCCAAACATAGTGTTAAGAGATGAAGAAATTATCCTGACATTGCTATCCTAACTCTTCCCCAAATGTGATCGCATTTACCGCTCAAGCTAGAAATTCAGAGAGTGGAGAAGGTTCATAAGAATTATGGTGGAGGTTAATCTCAAGAAACCTGTCCCATTTGGACTAGAGTATCCTCTATGAGATTAACTCATCTAGGTTAGTTTAAAATATGAGAGGGTAACAAATAATCATATTTTTTCCAATCCCTAATCCTCAAATTTATTTCGTAAATCCCTAATTCTTTCTCCAATCTCTAAATTTCAATTTTATCTTAGTCCATCTCTAAATCCTTTATCTCAATCCCTTGTTAGCCAAATATCAATATTTCTTACAATCATCCATCAAAACAAATTGTTATAAATCAGTCACGTCTATCGTATATCTAGATTTACAATCGTCCTTTTAATAATTGATTTTAGGTTAAAAATCTCAATTTTCAATTGTATAACAATGAACGAATAAACATAAATCTATGCAATTCCATACTACATCATTATATAAGACAAATGTTGAAAATCTAGATAAAAAATTAATAATTACAAGTCAATCCAATCAAAAGTTAGTTTCAAAGTCTAAAAGCCTTTTTTTTACACGCTTTGAACCCCCAAATGTTGTAGTTCTTTATCAAAAAGTTTTTTTTCATAGAAACCCAAGTAAAAGCTCTCAAGCCTAGTAAATGCTTTAAAAGCTAACTTTTAAAATGCTTTTATTGACTTTTGATGTTTGAGTATTAGGACAATATTTGAGGGGTGTGCAATGGTATGGTTCGAACCCAACCAGATCAAACATTGAGAATCGCGGTCCAAAAATAAAAAAATAAAATTATGACCATGGACCGGACAAACATTACATTCGATCTAGTGTGGTTTAGTCCAAATATCAAATTTCTTCAGTATTTATAAAATTTATAAGAGCAATAACCCGACAACATTATATCAGATTGGTTTGGTCCGATCTTGATGTCGGTTTTGTCTGGTAAGGTATGCTCTAGAACAAACTGTTGCACACCTTACCATATAGTGTTGGGTTTTGTTAAGTTTTGCTGGCCATATGAGAAAAAAATGATGCAGTTTTGTTTGTGTTTTAGTGGGGCTATCCTTTCATTTTTTTCCTTTTTGAGTTCCTCATAAGGCATCACTAATTCATTTGCCTTTTTTCCTTCATTCTCATTTTTTCTCTGCCTCGAAAACCCACACACGTCGCATCTAGATTCCTGCCACCAGCGTGCTTTGTCATCCCTACAACTCCCACCCTTATGACTATGCTATCGTCAAAGCTTGCATCCTTCAATCTCTCATTTGTCGCCACTTTCACTTATTAGTGAAGTTTGCCTACAACCATCATAACTTCATCATTTATCGATAGTTTCCTCTTCTCATCAAATTTATGGTTTGCGCATTTACTTTTACCCATCATTTTGCTTTTGAATAGAAGCTAGATTTTGACTTATTGATTACAACTTGATTTTAGCCTAAATGCACCTAAAATAAAAAATGTAGTGTAAACTACACTTATTTAATTTACCAATGATAATTTCCTAGTTTATAAGTGATAAACAATAATTTGCTACCGCGACTTGTGTTAAACTTAAAATTAGAGTAACTCGAATATTTAGTCTTTAGTCAAATGAATTTAGTTTGTTGATCAACAAAAAAGCTGCATTCCATTTTTAACTCGCGAAACGATCAATTGATTATCTTCACATCTGCAAGGTTGATCAATTGATGCATTATCTACCCCGATTTGATATGTTGTCATTTCTACTCACAACATTATATGGTTGTCGAATCACACTCATGAGCACTCCATAATCGCAAGATAAACACGATAACAATTTAGTTAGGTGGCACATGCTCCTTATTGTTGAACACTATGATCACCATGACCACGGAATGCGTTAGGGTGGAAACTGAATTTCTAGTAGCCACCGTGGCTACATCAGTATCCACCATTTATTTTCTTCTCTTTCCTTTTTTTTTTTTAATCTTACGGTTAAGATTGCCTCGGGATAATTTTGGAATAAAAAAAATGACCACACTTGATTATTCTATATATTCTACCCTAACCCTACTTCTACAGCCAAACCCGTCGTAGCCACAAGCTCTCACCCTCCCCGACCTCCTTCATCAACGACGGCTGTCGACTGCCCTCCCTCCATTCCTCTCCCCTCCGCCCACCTCCCTTCACCGGCCATCCCCTCCCCCTCCCTCTCATCCCATCCGTTCTTCCTCCACAGTAGACCCTCCACACAACTGTATACCCTAAAACCCAATATCCATCCTTCCTTCCTTCCCTCCCTCTCTCTCTCTCCACCCTTCTGTTCTTCTTCAGCAAGGCAAAAATAACGGTTGGGATAAGAAAAAAACTTGGGAGTTCGACTAAAAGAAGAAGACGACTGGTTTTTTAGTGGTATGTACGTTTTCGCATTGGTAGTGTTTTTCCCCGTAATGGTAGTGTTTTTTCGCATTGGTAGTGTTTTTTTCCTTAATGGTAGTGTTTTTTTCGCATTGGTATTTCTCTTTTGTGAAATGGTAGTGATTTTTTCGTAGTGGTAGTGTTTTTCGCATTGGTATTGATTTGAATGTATTGCTATATGGTTAAATCTGCAATGTTATTGGTGTTTTGTGAAACGATAGTGTTTTTATTTCTCGAATGATATTGGTTTTTTGTGCAATGGTAGTGTTTTTTTTAATGTTTTATTGTAGTGGTATCATTTTTTTTCTAGTGATTTTTTTTAAAAATGGTAGTCATTTTTCCCCGAAGTGGTAGTGTTATTGTCGTATTGGTATTGTTTTTGTCGCATTGGTATTATTTTTGTCGCATTGGTATTGATTTTGTCGCATTGGTAGTGATTAAATCTGCAATGGTATTGATGTTTTGTGAAATGGTAGTGTTTTTATTTCTTGAATGGTATTGATGTTTTGTACAATGGTAGTATTTTTTTAATGGATGATTTATTGTTTTGTTGTTGCAGCGGTATTAGTTTGGATGAACGAAATCAAGGAAAGATTGAGAAAAAGAAGGAAGAGAGATCTGACTGAAAAATTGTGGAAGTGAGAGAAAGAGAGAGAGAGAAATTGTATTTAATATATTTATGTAATTTCCTAAAATGTAATTTATTAAAAAAGATCATTAATAAATTTTTTGTTATACCCAATTTGCCCTTAGTAACCACGGTGATTACTACCGTAACCTGTCCCATGACCACATTGATCTACACAATAAATAAAAGGCAAATGAGAAAACTTGAAGCCTCATTTCAAATTTCCTGCGTCCAGAGTGAAAGTAGGAAGGACATTTTGGTCTTCACAATTGCTTTGTTTTTATTCATTAAAAAGACACTTACTAGGATTCAAACCATGACCACTTTAAATAAAAGCAAACATCATAACCAATCACACTAAGTACATTTATTGTATTTTTTTAAATTAAAAACATATAATCGCAGAGAGGAAAAAGCCCTTCCCCCATTTCAAATTCCCTGCTCCATGAGCGTTTGTAGGAAGGGTAGAATAGAGAGTGTCAATTTTTTTTTTCTTTTTCCTCTGTGGAACGGGCCAACTTACCATACACATGCGGATTTAAACGGGTCCAGGAATGTCAATTTTTTTCTTTAATTCCTTTTATTTCTCCATGGTGGTGAAATATATATGAAAAGACAAAAACAATACTCATTTTTATTGCTAAAAGTAAAAAAAATTAACAATAAACTAATGCATGAATTCTAATGGGCTAACCGCTAATCATAAAATAAAAGAGTTGAATGGGCCTGACCTACACGGGATTTACCCATCAAGTAAAACAAATGAACATCATGGGTTTGCCATTCTAAAACAAGCTATTTTCTCTAGCATAATATATATTATGCTATTATTTTATATTTTAGTGGCTAAAATATAATGTATTTTAAAGTTATTCTATGGTTCAACCTCGACCAACCCAATTAGTCCAATTTTTATCATTTCAAATATATATTATGTAATTATTTGATATCATAATGATTAAATTATAGTGTATATTATAGGGAATCGTTTGGTATTTGTTAGTAAAAAAAAACTAAACAGAAAGATCTATTTGGTTATTTTTAACATTAAAACGATCTTAAACATTTTCAGTTTCCTTTCGAAATTCTATAGTTTTATTCCCGAATTAGTGATGTGCAAATGGCGAATTGCAGTCATCTCTTTTCTTTCGTTATTTTTTTATTTTCAAATAGAAATTTTAAAAGTAAAGAATAATTAGAGTTTGGCATGGGTCGGTCAAACAGGCTGAATTTCAAGTTTTGGCCCGTTTTGATCAAGTCTAATTTATAATCACATGGTTCCCTGATACCCGATAAAAATCTCAATCCAAACCAATTTGGCAGGTGAGTCCGTGTTTACCACCATTTTCTAGGGATACAGGAACGATGGTTCTTATCCCAAATCGTGTTGTTCATTCTTGATTTCTTTAGATTTTATCATGGCTCGGCAAAAAATCAGAAAGCACAATGATGACAAGATGAAAGTTTTATAAAGCAAATTAATCGGCCAACGGGCCGAGTAAAAGCTATCAACAATTGTGAGATGCTCATTTTCCGAAAAACCGGCGGGATAGGCGATTTTTTATTCAATTTTCTGGAATTCGATTTCTATAAAACTTACTCCACCTCATCACATTACCAGAAACAATATTGTTACACAAGGTAACATGTACTTGATTTTGGTTTATAAGGCTGATTTTTGATTCGTTGCATCATTCATGTCTCTTTTCTACTAAAATTCACTATTTTTATCACATGCTTCCCAAAAAAAACTATATAACAATAAGTTATACACCCCATTACATTATCAAATTCATATCTCACCTTCCTCCGATCAAATGGCCGGGGCACACTAGTTTAGAACTATTTGAGGCGAAGTTGAGGAGAAGAAAACGGGATAAAATCAAACACACATCCGTTGGACACGTTATCCACAAAAATGAGGGAAGAAAGATAAGAGTACAAAAAATAAAAATTTGTACAACATGATCACGACCACTTATAACTTATAAGAATGCGCCGAAATCTAATATCCACAGAAGGTAAGGAGAATTTTGGACTTCTCCTTTCTCCGGTGGACTTGGGATTCTTCGTCGACGGGGACGACGACGGCTAAGGCTAAGGCGCACACTCCCTCTAATTCACAGCTTTCCTCATTGCTGCCGCAGCCACATAAGCCTCTTTCGCTCCATTTCTGTCCTTCGGCAATCCTTCTCCCCTGTCACATGAGCTCTGCTGCGGAAGAAGATAAGGTTGCCGCCGCCTTTACCGATTCCAATTTCCCTCCGGCTGCATGAGTTGGCAGGAACTCTGTCACTACAGGTATTCTTTCAAGTGCGGCTGCCTGACGCATTTGCTGAGGTTGAAGGAGCTCCAGCTCTTCCTGGTTTGGCTATGGTCCGACTCGCTCTCTCAGAATCTCTCGCTCCCAATCTCCCCCTCCTCTCCGCAGCCAACGGCGCGGCGGTTTTATCATCACCGCCGCCTCGAATATGCTATCGCGTCGCTGCTCGCCGTTGGTTGACTCCTGGTTTCCGGTCGCCTGCTTCTTGCAGGTAATTATTTGGTAGTTTGTAGTTTGATTCACTCATGTTTTTCTTACTGAGTTCAGATTATTAGGGATTAAATTGACTTTGGAATCTGGAATTTGATTTACAGGATTAGGAATTTTCAGTCAAAGTGTTCGAATGTGAATTCTGATCTCCAGTTCAGCCATGCCGTGGCTGAGGATGAGTTCTTCACGAATGAGGGTTCTTCGATTCAGGGAGATTTCTTGCCCCCCATTGTACAGCTCAATACTGAGATTCTTGAGACTCCAAGCTTTGGATTGTTGGTGGAAACAACTGATGCGGATGGACTTTTGTTGGCATTGCCTGTATGTTGCTGTCTTATCTTCATTTATGCTCATCTACCCAGTTGTCTGTTATTATTGAGTGCTGGCTCTCATCATTTATTGCTACTGATTTCAATGAACACTCTTAGGTTTTATCCGAGGAAGAGCAGAATGCTCTAGCAGCTACCCCGGCTCATCCGGCTGGATTATATGGTACTCAGAACAGAACTTTGATGTATTGCTATCTTTAGGGGTACCCAGAGTTTTTTTTTCCCCTTAACACACGATATCATGTACTTTGGAGTTGTATAGGTCTGCAATACATGATTTTCATACCAAATCAAACATGTAAAACAATTTATTTGGAAATCAGGGGTAGAATCTTGAAGTTTTTAAGTCCTTTACAGTGAAGTGCCCCCCTTCATATACTCCTAGAAGCTACCATATCTTGCCTAGAAATGATGTTCTTCTGGTGGGCTTCAGATGAACTGATATATAAGGCTTGTCTTTTAAGATTTCTGGACTCGTCTAGTGGGTTTCTAAGATGTGGTTGTTTGTCTCCAGCATTTTATGCCAATGTAGTAACTGGGAACATCGTGGAACGTTTATGGGAGTTTGCTTGGCCTTCTGCTATCGCACTGCTTCATCCGAGCCTTCTACCAGTGGCGGTCATGGGTTTCTTTGCTAAGGTTCTTACACTTCGAACAAGATTGAATGATTGTACTTATTCCAAATTATGTTGTTGGGGATGCTTTCTCACTAATACAGTGCCTTAAACAGTCGGCTTTACTTGTTGTGGGTCCTTTGCTTGGAAAATTTATGGACTATTATCCCAGAGTACCTGCATATATTAGCCTCAATGTGGTCCAGGTAAATTTTCAACAAAGGTTTACATCCAACGCTTTGTTTGAAATGCTGGCTTCCAGTTCAGATCCACAATGGTCAATTTTTCTGTTTCCTTCAGGCAGCTGCTCAGGTATTGTCTGCTACGATGATAATTCATGCTCACACAATGGCTACAACTTCCTCGTCTTCTGTTGTTCTCCGTCCATGGTTTGCTGTGCTGGTTTTGGCTGGAGCTATCGAAAAGCTATGTGGGGTAGCATTGGGGATTGCTAATGAACGTGATTGGGTTGTGCAGGTTAATCGCTTTTTTCAAATTTTCTGCTCCATTATGGCTATTTTTCTGTCATCCTTGTTACAGGAGATAGCTCACCACCTCAATCAATTTCCTGTTCTGAGCAGCTAGCTGGGATAAGTAGGCCCATTGCACTCGCACAAGCAAATGCTGTTCTTGGTAGGATCGACATGCTCGCAGAGGTATTCCCTGCATTTGTAGCATATGGGTTTTGGATGAAAGATGATAGCTAATTTGAAGTGGCCATATGCAGATAGCTGGGGCGTCAATGTTTGGAGTTCTTCTTTCCAAATATGGTCCAGTTATGTGCCTGAAATTTGCTTCTACTTTGATGATTGGTTCACTGCCACTGATGGTACTCATCTCACTTTTCCCATATTCCTTGATCAATTCTCGAGTCCAGTGGTATAATTAGTTTGAAAATTGTTGACATTATTCTCAGATTGGGCTCACATATTTAACTAACAAGTTATCAAGTGGGGTTCTAGACAATACTAGATCTTTCCAATCTTGTAGCAGAGACTCCAGCGGTAGTCACCATATAGGTAAACACAACTTATACTACACTTTTTTTATTTGGCCAAAAAGGATCCATTGTTTGATAGAGCAACCTCTGTTTGGAAACAGTGGATAAATGTTTGGAAACCATCAAGCTTGGATGGAAGGAATATATTCAGCAGCCAGTTCTCCCTGCAAGCATTGCCTATGTGCTATTGTGTTTCAATGTTGTACTTGGTCCTACTTGTTTGATGACAGCGTTTTTGACTCAGAGAGGTATGCCTCAGCCTTTAAAATTGTTATCGTTTATATTATCAATGCAATTTCACTATCATTACTGAGAAAACGATCTGGATGCGCTTAACAGGTGTGAGTCCTTCGATAATTGGCGGTTTCACTGGACTCTGTGCTGCCATGGGGGTTGTAGCAACATTCCTTGCAGCCAATTTGGTCAAGCGATTAGGCATTTTAAAGGTAAAACAATCTTCCTGCTCTTCACAGTTGGTTATAGTCTTATAGACAATGGCTAGTTATGAGTTGTGACCTCACTTATCCACTGCTTTTATCCCCAGGCTGTAGCTTTTGGATTAATATTCCAGGCTTCATTACTTCTCATGGCTGTTACAGTTTATTGGAGTGGATCTCTCTCGCACCAGAGTTCTATCATTTTCTTCTTGGGCTTAATTGTAAGTTCTTCTAACCATATGTTTGTTAATAGGCCAAATGCCTAAATGGTCTCTCGACTATAGGGTTTGTTACAAAATGGTCAGCAAACTACCATCGTAACAAAATGTTTACTGAACTTAGTGATTTGTGAACAAAACGTATGTTCCATTGTATTCCGTCTACTCTGCCATCAGTTCACATGAACCAACATGCCAAATAGGTTCACCTTGTCCCCAAAATCCACCCAAATCAGCACCCCGCATGCTTGCTAAACTAAACCCTTTCCAAGTCAAGGATCAGCTGTATCTCGGGTTCGTGTTTTTGCTCTCAGGTGGGAGCCAGTTTTTTTATGTGCGGCTGAGTTGGAACGGTAAGGTGTGTGAATGGGGTTCTGATCAAACAATTTTGGTGACATGGTGAGCCTATTTGACATGCTGATTCAACGGTTCTGATCCCAGATTTGATGGAGTGACTGTTTCGTTACAAAATTACTATGTCTTAAGTGTCGAGACTGAGTTGGATCTCAGGTCGTGCTTTCGTCATAGGTTGGGAGTCAGTTTTGTGTGGCTGAGGTGGAAAGGGTAGGATCGAGTGGGTGCATGGGGTTGCTGATCGGGCAATTTTAGCAACTTACTGAGCCCGAGCATTTTGACAAATTGGCTCAGTTAAGCCAATGGCAGATCAAATGGAGTGAATGTTACATAACAAAATCACCTACTCTAGTTCGCATATTGTTAAGATTTTCAGTTTAGTCATGGCATCTAACCTGGCAGATTTGTTGTTAGCGGCAGTAAAAAAAGGTATCATTCTAACAGAACCTATGTATCATCCCTGAAAGATTAAATCAATTTGTATTTCCCAGGTACTATCAAGGTTGGGACACATGTCAACTCAAGTTGCAGGGGCACAAATTCTCCAGACAGGGATCCCATCATCGAAAGCAAACCTGATAGGGATAACCGAGGCATCAGTCGCAAGCTTGGCGGAGTCGTTGATGCTCGGAGTGGCGATATTAGCAAACGACGCTTCCCATTATGGCATGCTGGCATTACTCTCGGTGACAGCAGTCGTTGGTTCGGCTTGGATTTTCTGTAGATGGGCGATGAATCCAACTCCTGAACAAAGGCGGCTCTTCTCTTCCTAACCCCCACTCCTTGATTCCTGAAACAAAATGTAAGTATTATAGGCAGCGACATTGTTTATTCAAATACTGGGAAGAAAGCTCCCTCAATTCATGTGTAGGCACCACACACTCTTTGCTCTCACAGCTATCTAAGATCAGAAAAGAAAAAGGGTTCAATTTCGGAACTGGAGTGTTGAATGTAATCTACACAAAGCAAAAGTCAGATTCTTCGCGAGAGCTCTGCGCGTATCACTAAAGATACATGTATGAGTTATTAGGGGTACATTTTTTTGAAAGTTGTTCATTAAGAAAACGATCGGGCCAAGCCCATACGGAAAGTACAAGCAGAAATGTGACCAGACTTGAAAATCAAACAAAGAAGCCCAAGAACAAGTTGAGTTTTTTCCAGAAATAGCACCTTTAAAAAAAAAAATTACAAAACTAGCACCCGCCCAAAAATATTTACAAAACTAGCACCTTTTTTTATTGACCGCACCCTCCAGGTGCGGTTTATATATAAAACGCATCCCCCAGGTGCGTTTTAAATGTAAACCGCATCTGGAGGGTGCGGTCAATAATTGTGGGCCTAAACCGCATCTGGGCCATGCGGTTTCATGTCTGGCCTACATGAAACGCATGGCCGAGGTGTGGTTTAGGCCTGACCTACCTAAACCGCACCTTAGAGATGCGGTTTCTGCGTTCAAGAACAAACCGCATCTCTAAGGTGCGGTTTTGACATGTAGACCGCACCCCCCAAGTGCGGTTTACATGTCAATAATTTTCCGACACCCGACACACCATGCAGAGGATTATGGACGTAGGGCTGCATGCAGACTAAAACCGCACCCTAGAGGTGCGGTTTTCACAATTTTTTCCCTATATAAGACTTGCCGGAAAACCTCAACTCTTCACACCTCTCATTCTCTCTTTCATTTTTCTGTTGTATATCTATATTTATTTAGTGTGTTTGCCATTAAGATCAACTCGTAAGTTTATTTTGTGTTACTTTTTATGCCATTAACATTAACTCGTAACTTTATTTTGTGTTACTTTTTATGCCATTAACATTAACTCGTAACTTTATTTTGTGTTACTTTTTATGCCATTAACATTAACTCGTAACTTTAATTTGTGTTACTTTTTATTGCATTAACATTAACTCGTAAGTTTATTTTGTGTTACTTTTTATTGTTATTTGTGATCTGTGATTTTTATGATATTAACTAAAACTATGGTTTGTTTGTGTGCAGATGGCATTCCGTCAGTTGTTGCTTGGCTTACGGTGGAATGGTTACACGGAAGACACCGGAAAGGGGGCCACCTACGTCGGTGGCAATTTTCAGAAAATAACGGTCGGTACCAGACCGAAGCTTGAAGACCTCCATCGAATATGCACTGACGTTACTTGCATGGATGGCACGAGGAGGGTAGATCGTATGGTGTACCGATACCCAAACAGAGCAACTGGGTCATTGTGGCATGAGGAATATACCATAACCACTCAAGATGACGTAGATTCCATGCTCGAATTCTTGAGGTCCAACAAGTTGGCCAAAGCCGAGATGTTCGTTTACACCGAGCCAGCCGTTAGTGTTGGAGGTCATTCTGGACACGGTCAAACATCTGGTATCCATGGTGGTGGTGAATTATATGACGATCATCCCTACCAAAGTTACCATGATCCTCATTCCTATTTTCAGTACCAAGATGGAGGGCAAGGTGCAGGCCATCATCAATCTTTCTCGTCATATGAAGAAGAAGTTCAACCGGACATCCCCAACCAAGCCCAGTACAACTTCCTGACAGGCAGCGGTAGTTTTCACAACTACCATTATGGAGCTGATGAAGGTGCCTTTCATGAGCAGGATCATACGGAGGCTGCCACACCAGGACCAGTCAGCGACCCCTCTGATGAAGAAGGAGAGAACAACGTCAGTGCAGACAGCTCAGACCCTCTTGAAGGTGCTGATGATTCAGCACCAGATTCAAATTCAGATAATGATCATGATGTGGCTCCTGACCGTGTACCAGTCCCCTACTACAATCACATTCCAGACGACAATTGGATGGTCGACAGCGACATGGAGCCGCCAGAGGTCCCAATATGGGGCCCACTCACTGGGTTTACGAAGGGCCAACAATTTGGCTCGAAGAAGGATGTGCGGCACGCCCTTGAGACTGAAGCAATGACTCGGCATTTTGAATGGGACACAACTCATTCCAACACCAAAAGGCTCATAGTCAGATGCCGTAGTCCATTCTTCAATATCGACTCACTCAAGAGCACCTACGGACGGAGTTTCCGTGCATTGCCTGATGAGGCTTATTGGCCGCTGTACGAAGGGAAATTGATCGTCCCGCCATTCGGACAGAGGCGTGAACCGGGGCGCCCGAGGAAAAAGAGAATTCAGAATGAAATGGATCAAAGTGGAAGACCACCACGAGGCCCAAGACGGTGTTCAGTATGCAAAGTTCCAGGACATGATAAACGAAGGTGTCCAGGACCGATTGGCCCTCAAAATCCGGGTGATGATGTCCCGGAATCAGCTAATGCGACGTAATTTTCGATTATCATTCGTCAAGCTATTTGTAACTCTTACGTTGCATTTAATTGTGTATTGTTGATTGAACGAATTTGGATCATATCAAGTCAAGAGGAATCATGATAATAACAATTTGATGAAAATCAACGAAATATGATTGATGGAATTAAAGGGAATAGTTCAAAGTACATAGAGATAAAAATCAACTCAAAATACATATCAAGGAAGTCCACGAGCGGATGCGGAACCCACAGTTTTCTTGCTCCTTGTACGCTTGCCGACGGGAGTAACAATGGGTGGTGGAGGTGGCAAGTGGGGAGCGGCCGAGGTAGTGTGGCGCTCGTCGGTGCTATGTCGGCGGGGAATCGGCACTTCCGGGGTCGAGCGGGCGACATCGGCGCTCATACGGTGAGGAGTGGGAGGCCACTGCTGATGAGGAGGTCGATTCCATGGGGTGAACTCGTGTTGGCCTGTGGTGGAGGAGCCATCATGAAAAGTCCCAGATGATGTTTGGCGGGGAGATAGCCGGGAATCAAAGTATGCTCCGCGGGGATCGAAGTATGCTCCGCGGGGATCGTTGTATGAGATCGGGGTGGGAGATAATGGGGCTTGGTGGAAACTCTGAGAGGATTGATGGTAGGTCGAGCGGGGATCGTAGTATGAGCTTTGGTGGAATTCGTTGTGGCCGGCATCTTGTGAAAAAGTCGGGCGGGGAGATGGGGCGGAGGACGGGCGGGGAGCTTGGGTGGAACTCGGTCCGGCACCTTGGGTTGAACTCGGTCCGGCACCTTGGGTGACAACCAATGGGGGCGGCACACTCCACCCCCCAAATGGTTGTACCTCGGGCTCGATGGGCCTTTCCCGAACCCTCTTCGGCTGCTTTCTCTCCTAGGGTGGTGGGGGTGCGGGGACATCATGTTGTACCTCAGGTGGTGGGGGTGCGGCACGCGGCGGATATCTACGATGATCTCGGCGCTGAGCTCTGATACAGCCAAGTAGACTGTTTGCAATCCTCCTGATGTAGCCCACATCTTCATTGCCCAAGTCATTTCTTCCGGTAGTAATATCTTTAATCCGCTCGACCCCATCAACCTAAATCACAAAAAACAAAAAAAGTTACAAAGAGATTTTAGGAACCAAGTAATAAATCATAGTATACTTAGACTGGTTATACTTACTAATGCACCATCGGCCGCACCCTCCGGAGTCATGTAACAAACCGATGTTTGCCGATATCGATCCAAATATGGGTCATGATACCCCATTCGGCCCACTTGATTTGGAGTGACAATATCCTGTAGTTGTCGGTTCTCCCAAATCGCGATGAATTCCTTCAACTTCGTCGGCCAATCGCGAGTACCTTGCCGACCATCTCGGCCATGGAAGGCCCTTTGACTTTCGGGGACCTCCAACGGAATGCACTGTTCCCGACCAAACTGACGGAGGCATCGATCCGGCAAGTGCCACTCCACGGTCCCAAAACAAATTAGAGGAACCCTCGTGCACCATTGTCCGATATGATCGGGGAATTGCTGGAGATGCCATTGAACGATGTTCTCCGGGTATGGATCGAATACGATCTACAATATAGAAATGAGTAACGTAAGATTAATTAATTAGAAAAATACATGTAGTCCCATGAAAAACAAATATAAATGGATCGCTGTATAGAAGTTACCTCTCCTTCCCAAAGTCGCTCAAACCTCCTCCGATACTCCTCCAACTTGTGTTGGGCAAGGTTGTCGCATGTTGTGTGTCCAAGCCACCTTATTAATATGACAAGAATGAAACTACAATAAGATAAAACACAAGACAAAATGTGTTATGACTACATGATGGGGTATGAGAAGTTTACCTTGCTCCATAAGCTTCACCTCTTAGGGGATGATCGATTGGCCAATCCCTGTCTGGACGTTGGGCCGGTGCAAGCCATGGCATATGCTCCCAAGCCCAAAATTGGACGATGAACATTGCGCCGCCAACCTCCCTCACGGCTTTGTTCGACGCATTGCACAAGTTGTTGTAGATGATAGCTAGGCAAGCGGATGCCCAACTATACTCCCCCATCTCCTCCCAACTACTGAAGATGATCCTAAGCCATCCACAACTAAGGAGATTGCTTGATTTCTTGGAGAATAACACTCCTCCGATCATGCCTATGAGATAGACACGAGCATATCTCTCCTTCTCATCCTCCGGACTTTCCTCGGTTAGGGGGTGACTCTCGTAATGCTCTTTAAAATACTTCGTCAACCATGTAATTGAGACTTGGTGTTTCCTCATTGGTGGCATGCGATCGGTCGCATCAACGCAACCCTTCACCGGTACTTTCACTCCCAAATGACTGTGGATGAAATGCTGCCAACCTGGCATACCGTCACAATCCTCGGGGGGATGATCACTCACGCACACCGGTTTGCCGTCGATGGGCAGATGGGTTAGGATGGCGACATCCTTTAGCGTGATGGTGGCCTCTCCTTCTCTAAAGTTGAAACAATGGGTCTCCTTTCTCCATCTCTCGGCTAATGCGGTGATGAGTTGGCGATCGATTTGGATGCCGTTAAAATGCCTAATCGAGTCTAACCGTGCCCTTTTGAGAAATGGCAAGATAGCTGGGTGGAATGGGAGCACATTGGTGGTACCCCTATAGCGGATTATTGTTTGTGATTCCTAGCAAAAAATGTACACGTTTATTATTATTAGTAAGGGTTTTTTTTCGTATAACTAAATTAATTAAATTAAATTATGCGACATAAAACATAATTTTATCATCATAA